AGAGGGGATTATGCTGTAGCATGTGCATTTTCTTAGCTACTTCATTGATTCTGTTGATGAGGGAAATGGGCTTATGAATGTGCAGCTGTAATGAAGCTGTGGAGGTGTGCAAACCGACTTAGGTCTATGAGCTCTTGAGGGGAAAGAAAATGGATGGCAGGAAGTGTTTGTGACTAAAACCAGGTTCTTGTTTTGACTTTGAGGTGATTTAGGCATATCCTTTATGATACAACACTAAGTCACTACTGGCTCACAATTCTGATGGAACATGAAGGACTATTCCAAACCAATGGATTGAGAGCACTGAGGCTGTGGTCACGATCACAAGTAGTCGTGCTGGTTCAGAGACAAATGGGAGCTGGGTAGTTATCCTGAAGCTAAGTGCTAAGCTTGGCAGCCACAGGAAGGCAGGATGGTCAGGTTGGATGTAGAAGCTGAAGCTGATTTTTGCAAAATACTGCGTGCAGTTTACATTGAGAGAGGAGCTGTAGGACATAATAAATTTATTGATACGGCAAGCAGATTTTAAATGTTTCAGTGCCAAATCTCAATTTGAGCAGAAGTCCTTCCCTCTGGGAAGACGGAGGAAAGTAAAGAAACAAAAGGAAAAACTAAGAGACTGGTAGTAAATGCAAAACGGAGAGAAAAAGATATTGTGAACTTTGTGGAACAGTTGTATAGTTGCATAACTGTTCCAAGTGGAAGGGAATAGGTCAATGGGAGGATAACAGACTGATGCACAGAAAGCTTGTGCCTGGCAGACGACAATATATCACAGTGCTTTGGAAGGAAAGCAAATGCCTGTGCAGTAGTGGCTATGAAAATGCCAAATTATATGAGTATGGGAAGCTGAGAAGGCTTGGGTAAGACTATTCCAACATAACATACAGTGATGGTGAGAGACATATGCTAAAATGGTTTAGTTTGGTACTATATTGGAAGTAGCATCAAACTCAGTGATATGATGAGAACAACGTGGAAATTAACAATAAAGAAGTACCAGGTGGCAGGAGAGAGAGTCAGGACCAAACTTGGCAAAGAGAGGGAAAAACGTTAGCCATCCACCTGTCTGGACAGCAGCAGGAGGGATGAGATGTATGAGCAACCTGGAGGACAAACAGGATGCTATTTAAAAGAATGAAAGCACAGCAGATAGAGGTTATACATCTAAAAAGCAGGAGGTAGGATTGAAGACCACAACATGAGGAAAAACTATAGAGATTAAGCTGGTTTGTATCAAAGGCCACTTTCACAGGACTGTATGAACACTGACCTCAGCAGGGGTGCAAAATGAAAGAGGAATTGTTCAAAAGAAAAATGTATTAAATCTTCTGGGAACTTGAATACAGCGAAGCTTGCGGGGGGGAAAAAGCTCAGCAGTAGCAGAACTGTCTGTACAGCTTGGGATCCTGGGGTAGAATTTGTGGGCTCACAGCTGATCCCAAACGAGTTCTTGGTAACCTCTTCCTCCATTGAGGTTTTGTATCAGGAAAATTCCTTTCTATTCTGTTTCCTGGAATGCCTGAAGCAGGGTACAGGCTGCCAGTCTGCTTGGCCTCTAAGGCCACGTGCATCTTTGAAGAGATCCCCATTTCTCCTCAGTGTGCTTTACTAGGAGGCTGTGTATTGTTCAGGTTTCACAGAAGTCTATTATTCTCCATTTGTTAATATAATTCCCATAAAACAGACTGCATAATTTGATATAGACATAAGAGCATTCCATTAAATTAGCTCTGCCAAAAGTGAATTGCAGAATATTTTTAATTGAAATGGATCTCTGGAGGTCATCTAATCCAACCCTAAGCTCCCCGCTAACGTGGAGTTAACTAAATATAGCTATCCTATAGTGAAACTACTGAGCCTTGGGAAGTTCAGTATTATGGCCAAAATAATGGGGAGTTTCTGTCCAGATCTAAGGAGTCACTTTTTTTTTCCACTGAGAGGACACGAAGGTGAGCGTGTTGCTGGGAGAGGTTTTGCAGTCTGTATTTCTGGAGATTTCCATGCCCAGAATGAATAAACCTCTGAGCAGCTTGCACTGACAGCAGTTGGCCCTGCTATGAGCAGGAGGTTGGATTAAAGACCTTCTGAATTCTGTCACAGCCTAAATTCTCCTGGGATCACATGAAGAGCCATGCACCACAGCTAGTACTCAAATCTCCCACCCACATGCTGCAACTCCAGACTGAATACTATCCAGATTGTGTAATTTATTAATTTTCTTCCTAATGAACAAACAATCCAAGCACGCCCACTTGTGAAAGGTAATCCTGTGTTTTCAGGCATACAGATTCAGCATAGAAACCTTAATAAAATCCTTCACAGCAAACAGAGTTGCTAAAGGTTCAGTTTCTTTGTCTGCTATTAAATGTGTTCTCAACGGAAGGAGGACCAGGGAGGATGTTTTCTATTGATCAGAACGGTCACCTTACAAATAGAGGCATAGACAAAGCAGAGATGTTTAATGCCTTTTTTGCTTCTGTCTTCAACACCAGTGATGGGCTCTTGGACCCCACGTGCCCTGATTTAGAGGGTGGTGACTGTGGTAAACTCCCAGCCAGTTTGAACTTGTGTGGGATTTGCTGCTCCACCTGGACATGTATAAGTCCATGAAGCCTGATGGGATTTGTTTCAGGGTACTCAGAATTGGCCGAGGTTGTTGTGAGACCTCTCTCAATTATTATCATAGAAAGGTCCTTCACTGAGAGGGTGGTTGATCTGGGCATGGAATGGTCTCCTTAGAGAGTCATGGCACTGTGTTTGCTAGAATTAAAGAAGTATCTAGACAACACTCTCAGTCATATGATCTGATTTTTTTGAATGGTCCAGGATTTGGACTCTATGATCTTTATGGGTCCCTTCCAACTTGGGATAGTCTACGATTCTATCGTTCTAACTCCTCTGAGAGCTGTGTGGTAACACCACCATCTGTTGGCCCTGTAGTCTACTTGGCAAGCATCCCATTTCTAATGTAATTGGAAAAGGATTTATTATTAGTTGAGATGTTTTTAAGAAGTTGTATCTCAAATTCTTTTTGTCTTGATTTACCGTGTGGTTACTTTTAATCAGAATGAAGCTATGATCCCTCTTTTTTTTTCCTCACTTGGACATAACTTCAGGTTTCTGAAGGTTGCCTTGTTGCTTCTGTCATTTTCCCTCACCTTGCTATTTCGCCATACCAGGTTTCCTCTGCTCTTAAGGTTTTCTTTTCTGACAGGTAGAATACATTTTCTTTAAATGAATTCTGTCTGTGTCTTTAAAAAGACCTCAATCTACTTGCTAAGATTTTCCTTTTGTTTTTCCCTTCCCTTTTGTTTTTAGTGAACTGTCTAATTTTCCTGTGATACCATTGCTTGAAGTCAACACAACAATATCTGATTTTTTTTTTTGTCTTTATTTCTACTATGGGTGTTGAGACTGTTTTTGTCCAGTTAGAATGCCATGCCATGCAATTAGAGGTGGCTGGTGGTAGCAGTGTCACAGACCTGAGGCTGACCCCTGGTGAATGATGCGAGTTCATCCCAAACTGGTCAATCAGGGCAGTTTTCTTGTTTCCGATTTCTAGTGAATCAAAGGATATTGTAGAGATGTGTGGCTTGGGGGGAAACAAACAAACAAACATGAAATGCTGCTTGTATCCCAAGGGATACAAATGAAATGAAGACTTCAGCTTGCTTATAAAGGAGGCTAAGAACATGTGGAATTCAGTAGGTCGTGGGCCTGTGACCAAGGCCAGTTCTGATATGATGCACCTGTATTTTCTGTGGTCAGACTGCTGTGTGAGAGCTGTGATGAGGCTTATGACCATTTTCCCTCCTGTAGGGAAATATATTTGAGCTTGTGTCCCAGCCCTCATTCATTGCCATTGATTATTCCATGTGTCTGGTCCCAGTCACAGCCTCTGGATCCATTCCTCTCTTCTTGTGCAGAGCTCAGGGAGGTCAGTGCCTTGCTGGGGGATGTCCCTGCTGCTCACAGCCACCTCACAGAGCTGAGAGCTGTCAATCTCCTCCTGGCTCCACGCTAAGGAAGCACCAACCAGTTGGGTGTACAGCAGGGGGAGGCACAGCAGGCTCTAGCCTGAGCCCAGCACCTCTCTGGTTGGCACATAGTTGGCTTTTACTACTGTGAAGTGCAGGTGCACCAGGAAAGCTCAGGCCAGCAGGTTCTTAATTCTTCTACTTTATTCCAGCTCCCTGTCAGACCTCGCTCTGGGGCCAACATCTGTGGGGATGAGCAGGATGCCTACCTGCTGGTCTGTGCTGTGGGAGCATGTCCTCAGCTGTACGTGTAGGTCAGTGAATCAGGTGCATGCACTCTCAGAAACAGCCACTTCTAAGCCACGAGCTGACTTATAGCCCATATAATGAAAGAAACCAAATTAGAGCTCCGTGTGCAGTACTTATTTGGACAATTTCACTTAACCTTGCCATCGTTTAAGTCCACTTATACTTTGATTTAGAGATTTCTGAATACTTTTATAGTTCTGTTTATTGAGAAGCCCACAAGTCTGAACTGAGCTCTTTTCTGTTTCTGCAGTTGTGTTCTGATAGCGATAGGCTTTTCTACGTAGGTCTTTAAATAACAAACATCTTTATGTGCAACCTTTTAAATATTTTTGATCTTTGTAGCACTTCATTTGCAGTATATCACCTTCACAAGAAACTGAAATCAATTTATAGTCCTGAAAAAGCAGTGATCTTGGGTTCTTTTTGATTTTTTTTTTTAAAGAAAATGACAGTCTATCAAATTAAAGATCTCAAGGGGAGAGTGAAATGCTGGGTTGTTTATTAATGTCAGCAGCCCTTAAAAATTGCCAGCAGTAATGTACTTCTAAGGAAATATACTTAGAGGAAAAATTAAACCATATTCTAGCCAGTTAGTCTTATGGAACAGGTAATTGAATTTCTCGCCTTCTTGTCAATTGAGTAATATTGTGTAACCCTTTTAAAAGTTCATGTAATCAACACTTGATGCTGATCTGTGTTCCACGGACTGGATGGTTTTTCTTTGAGGAAAAAGGTCTTACTGACATTTCTTCTGTTTTGCTCTTGGGAAGTCTGCAGGAAAAGGTTGTACTGAAGAATTGCATCCCACAGGTTATATGCAGCTTAAGAATCAAATGCAGTGACAAGGTGATGCAAGTTTGTACTTTATTTCCATGTGACGCTTTATGAGGAAAGTAACAAAGCAATTTGTATTTAGAAAGAAATGGAGTCACTTACCACCACCCTAATGGAAATGAACAAAGTTCATCATGGCTTTTTGCTGCGATTACTTGTCTGATCCTGTCTTTGAAATGTGGCATTATGGTCGTGGGAGCAAAATCAGTTATCAAAGGCAGCCGTTGCCATGACTGCTAAGGCACTGTTAACTCTTTCAGTGCATGGAAATGAATGGAAGGAGTGACTGACGGCAGCTCCCTAATGTGGTGCCACTGTTTCTACATGCAGAGATGGCAAAACAATTGCTATTGTTCTATCCCCTAATTTTCAGGCGCAGCAAAATGCAGTGTGTACTTTGAAGCTGGAAACTTTCCAGGCTCTTTCAGTCAGCATCTCAGATTTGGTTTCACGTCTCCACAGACACAAACAGGAATATCCTGATGTAAATGGAGCACAGTCTTGCTAAGATGGCAGCAACACGTAAACAATTCCCTCCTGTCTCTCTGCTGTCAGATTTTTTTTTTTCTTCCCAGATGTGTCTTTTAAAATTGCTTGGGCATTATTGTGCAATTGTTAAGCCACTTTATTGGCAGTGAGGAAGGTCATAAAATCTGTTATTGCAATGAGAAAGAAACATATTCACTATGCTTAATACACTGCTGGAAAATATGCATTTAAATAATTTTCCGAAGCCATTCCTGTTCAAATTAACAAAGCCTTCTCCTGCTTTTTTCTGTTTCCCTAAACACTGGCTGATAGTGCTGTAATGCAACAGTGTTGGAAGGAGAAGAGAGAGAGGATGTTAGGCTTTTCAGATAATAGCCATGGGCTGGACAAGCAACAGGACAATTTCCTTTATGGGAACACCCTTGTAGGGTGCACTAGAAATTAAAACTCAGAACTCATCCAAACCCATGGAAATAAAATCAGGACAGATGTGAAGCATGGGAGCTCACTAAACCAGCTTCACCACCAAGGTCACTGACTGTAAGACAGATCTGGGCAATGCTATTCAAGGAGGCATTTGACAAAGAGCCCACACCATCTATGCGCTGACTTCCCTCCTTGCCCATAGCTCCCCACATCACCCAGCTGCTGCTTGTCCCCTGCTGCAGCCCCCAGCTCAGCTCGAGCAGCAGGGACTTGCTGCAACAGTTGTCTGGAGCTGCTATTATATGTATGCTTGTAACTCACCATTTTCCAATTCATTGGTGATAACCCGAGCATCCACGCTGTGCCAGTGCTCAGGCTCGCACAGGTTTTCTTACCCTATATTCTGTTACAAACCCATCAGAGCCATCCTAATGGTTACTTAATTCCTAGTGACTAGATTCTTGCGTTGTCCAGACAGAAGCAGGTAAGATAGGAACAAAGCGAGCGCCTGTGCTGCTCGGAGCGAGATGCCAGCCGAGCTGCGGGGGGTTCGGAAGGGGCTGCCTCGGCAGAAGAGCGCAGAGCTCCGCTCCGTCAGTTCTGCTACCCTCGCGGTGCTTTGCTGCCACCTGGTGGCTTCGGCTGACTTTGCAAGAATGGAAGTCTAGGCACAGCTCTGCTGTGTTTCATTAGTTCCGCTGGTAGTTTTAAAAGCAGCTCCTCAGATCAAAGCCTTCCCGTGCCCTCCCAGCATAAGTCTCCGCTGAGCAGGTGTTAAATGACTTATCCTTGCAGCAACCGCCATCACTGCAGTATATGCAAAAGAACTATATCTTATTTCTGTTTAGCAGGACTTTCTCTTTTTAGATTTCCTTCCTGAAGGCAGAAATGATAATAAGCTATCTGGAACAAAATAGTGCCATCAGGTCTGAAACAGGCTGTGATGTGGTCGTGCTGGGGTGCTTGATGCATTCTTCCTGATATTTCCCCTCTATATAAACATTCCTGTTCATTTCTTCCAGCCGTCCTGGCCACAGAATCAGGTTTGCTGTGCATGATGCAGTCAGCAGCCTGCTTCAGCTGTGATGCTGAACCATGGAGCTGCCCAGCATGCACCCCAGATGGCCCTGACTGCATGATCTGCATATCTTTCTATTCTTCAGTTTCTTTCCCCCCTTTCTTGAGTCTACTTTTCCCTTGCTTTTTCAGCTCCAGTCACCTCCCACTTAAACAACTCATCCTTAACAATCTTTCTCCTCTATGGTATCATTTGTTGGTATCTGTCACATGGAACACATTCTTATTTCCTATCTGGGGCCTGCCCTGACAGCATTTTATCTCTGTTCATTTCAGCTGTTTTAGCCATGCAAGGAACTTTTACTGGCAGGTTTTTTTTTTTTTAAACAAAAAAGCAAAAAACACCTGAGGCAAAATTACTGACAGTGAAGTGGGTTGGGGCTCGGGGTTTGAGCTCTACATACATTGTTCTGGTGAAATGCTGGTGGCTCAAGTGTAGGCTTTGCTTTGGGACCATCAATGTGACCATGAAGGAAATACAAGTTAACCCATGTCTGCTCATAGGTATGGATATGAAGAAGTATAGAAACTGGCAGTTGTCACCTGTGGTCCTTTCCAGCTTTTCTGTGAATGGATGAAGTTAAGAAGAGGATGAGAGCTGGCCATGTGTTCCTACAGAACACTTCCTTGCAGCAGATTTGGCACAAAGAACAGAGTTCTTGTTGGCACTCTGAAGACACTGAAGCACATTCTGTCTGGTCTGTAGAAGTTTTGTTTTCTTAATAGGATGCTCTAAAGTGTTTCTTGAATCCACAGGCAGAGAACCTCTTCTGAGGGGATCACGCGCACCATCAGATCACATTGCTCAGCTTCTTCCCTCTCGCACCATATCAGCTGGGTGGGGGACTCTGGTACTTTCTGTAAAGCAAATACATTCATTCAAACCTTCTCAGAATGATGAGCCTGGCCTCTTACTTCTGCCTTTCCCCACAGGCCTCCTCTCATCCTGCCTGCTGCAACCAGCCAGAGACCTGGGGCTCAGACCATGACCACAAAATGTGCTGCCTTACATTCTCACTTAAGACAGACAACACATTAAAGTTACTGACTTAAATATACTCCTCCTGCATGAGGAAGAGAAGAGGGTGTTTTAATTACTGGTTGCTCCTCACCAAGGAATTCAGAGCTCATTGCTGGTGCCAGAGGACACGGAGCTGTGTTGCCAGTGACACAGCTGTTTTGTTTGAGGAGCAGCTGGTCAGCTCATGCTTCCCAAGCTGCTTCCCCACAAGCAGCAGGAGCACTGTCCCTGTTCAGTGCTCTAGGCAGAAGGCAATGGCAGCCATGCAGCTACCCCATGTGGGCTGCCTGATCCTCCAGTTCAGCTGTCTGCTCACATGAACTCTTTGCTGCCGGTTTATGGAGCTGTGTTGAAAGATTTGCTTGCTCTTTTCCCTCAATACTAGCTCTTCCATTACAGTGCAATAAGCAAGTCTTCCTATGTATTTGTCTGCTTTTTCTGCTTGTGCCATGATTCAGTGAATATCCAGCACCCTAAAAACGAAGTGAAAATGTTACCAGTGTGTCTGGCAGGACAGCAGTGGGGCAGCAGGAATCCTGGAAGGTTTTTCTTGTTTTCCAGACAAGGAAAGGCAGAGTCAAGGTAGCCACAGCAAAGCCAGCGAAGGACATAAGGACACTGATGGGCCACATGGATCTGCTGCCTAAAAACAAGTGAAGCAACAAATTTCTTAGCTCGTGAGAACATGAGTTACTCAGTGTAATCAGACTCAGCCCTCTGTGGCTGCCCTTCCAATCTGCTCTGGTGAGATTTTTTTGTCACCACACTCCAGAAAGGGACACCTATGCCACTGCAGGGGGCTGCACTCTAGATTTTCCTTGGAGAACACATGGGTGGCACATTTACAAACAAGACAGGAAATCTTAGATCACAGAATTGTACAATTGTTTGAGTTGGAAGCTTAAATGTCATCTAGTCCAACTCCTCTGCAATGAATAGGGACAGCTGCAGCTTGTCAGGTTGTTCAGAGCCTAGTCCAGCTTGACCTTGAAATGCTGGCTGCAAACCAAAGAAGTGCTGCTGGGGTATCCTATGGGGCTTGACTACAGGACTGGAAGATGCAGAAAGGCTGGCTGTTACCTTGTGCCCTCACACACTGTGGTTGGCTGAAGCTACTGCTTCTGTTGATTGTCTCAACGTACGTCTGGGCTTTTACGCAGTATTCAGCTGCTGCCTCCATGGTAGCCAGATGAACTGTGGAGCTGATCTCCTTCACCATCTTCTGTTGCATCTGCCAAAGGCCCAGGAAAGAGAACACCAGAATGTTGGACAAGGACCTAAATGAGAGCAGGAGTTCTAATGTGATGCTAGCCCAGACTTTGCTGGGGGAGAAGAGAGGAGAATAACAGGAGCAGGTGGTGTCAGAGAGGACTGTGTGAATAGGAAGAGACAATAAAAAGGAGCACAGTGGAGTGCAGATCATATGTGCCAGGAAAAATAGGAGGGGATGCAAAGAAAGAGCCATGAGCTTATTGATGGCGTTCAGCTACAATACTAGCCCATGACCTACTCTCTCAGTTTGATGTGGGGTCTGAGTTATTCTGGGGATGCCAATATCCTGCTCGTTCTAGTATGTGATAGGGGTGCAAGAGCTGTGCTGTGCTCTGAAGTACAGAGAGAGACTGGGCTAGTAAGGAGCAAATGAACTTGGAGTGTGCAACTGTCACAATTCTGCACGTTTCAAATAGCAGATGAACCAATCTCTCTTTTTTTTTTTAATTTATTTTAATAAATAGGACTCTGTTCACTGGTAGCAAGATGAAGTTGCTATTCCCAATCTGCCAAGACATGAGAGGAGAGAGAACAATTAGTTGTTCATAAATCTTGCTGTATTGCAGAGGCAAAGCCTTAGCTCACAGTAGGCCTGATGAGCCTCCACCATCACACACATACGGATATCTCCAAAAAGCCAGCAGGGCTTTTCTGGCAGGGCCAGTCCTCTCTATCAATGTACTTCATGAATATGTGACCTTGAGAGCTGATGGTTTGAAAAGATTTCAGGGAAACAAATCAGGTCAATGACTGCCTGCGGTTTGTGATATCTTGTGAAATAAGATGTCCAATGTGACAACTAGTAAAAAGTGAACAGAATCCTGCTGGAGATCTGGATGTGTACTGACGAGTAAACCTGGTGTTTGTGACAGTTCAGAAACTATTATGAAGTCTGGAATTAATGTTTAGGTCATTAAGATCTTTTATATCAAAGAGTTAGCATTTCATTTGTGAAAGGAAATCAGACACAAGCTTATAGGATTCTTTCTAACCTATGGACTAGGTTCATCTCATTTACTTGGATTTCCAAAAAGGAAGGAAATCAATTTCAGAAGCCCGTTAAGCTAATGGCTGTGGAGTAGTAAAGCACCAGCCTGCAGTGCAGAGGAGCGTGGCACACGCTGACACCAGGCAGGTGCTCCAGCCTTCCAGCAGCAGCTTGAACTTGAAAAACAGTGCCTGGGAAGTGTTTCTATGCTTTTGCTCTAAGACACATGGGTTCCCTTTCCGTGCCAAAATCCAAGGGTAAACTCACCTTGCTCTCCTGGCCCTTCTCCCAGTAGAGAACAAAGAACTGAAAGGCAGGTCCCATGTCTTCTAGCTCCACTAGTAAATGATACCCATCTGCTATGGCCTTCATCAGAGGTGGGGTCAGAAAAGCTGCCAAAGGAGAGAGAGCACTGTTATCACATCAGAAGCAAATCTTCAAAAAAGTCTGTCTGGGCCCAGCTAGGAAAACGAGAGGCTCCTGCTATGGCTGTCCTCCAGCTGCCATGATGAGCACACTAACAATTATCTGGAATAATAGCTGGTTTCTTCGATGGAGGAGAAACCTCTCTGCCCTGCTTCCCAGCTTGTCTGGATTTTGCAGCAGATTTTGAGCAGGAGGAGGTCTGTGACTGGCATTCTGAATGGGAATTTGGCAATAGCTGACTAGCACGGACTTGAAAGGTTTTGAATTTTCTCCAGTGGATGAAGCATCTGGCCTGAGGGTCCCATGTGATCAGCAGCAGAACCAGCTGGGCAACCAGAAGTTTTGACACCACACCAGGCCAGTTCTGCTTTTGGGCATTAGCTTAGTGCTAGCACACAGAACAGGAGCTGTGAAACCACTGCTCTTCATGTGAATTTTGGCAGTTATTCAAAGGTGGAAGAGAAAGCAAATAAAGCCCTAGGATAATTCAGTCTCTTCACATGAATCTTCATTATGTTTCAGTATCTGTATGCTTTTAGAATGACTTGGGTGTGCTGATGACCTGCTGCCTGCTGTGACATGTTTTTGTAGCTAGTATGCAAGTAAATCTGTTGGTGATATGCTTAATGCTTGCTTTCATATTCAAAGCTTGGTTTGGTCTGGGACTCTGCTGTGAGGAACAATCAGAATCAATCAAGCATGGATGAAACTATGCACTGTACATTCATGAATTTGGAATCAAGGGAATACAAAGATCATATTTGCACTACTTACCAATGCCATTCCTTACCACTCTCTTGTAGCTGAAATTGGTTTCAGCCCTCTTGCTTTCAAGAAAGGAAGCAGAGCATACAGAACATACAGAAGAGATGTTCTTAATAGAATTTGCTCTTGCACAAAGTGAATTGCTATTGATACTGAACAATATGAAAATATGAAATCAAAGTATGTTTATGATGAATATGCCACAAAAGTGAGGCTTAGAAAACTACTTCGTACTTTTAAATTGAAAGCTGATAGTATGCTTAACATGATGATGTAACGAGAAAAAAAAAAAAACAAAACTAACACCATTCAGAGGTTAAAAATAATACTGGGGATTAACAGATGAATATTGTAAGACACAAATACTGACCAGACATGAGTGTTTAACATTTATCTCTTGTGCTGGGGGACTGGATACCAACTAACTATCAGAACTATGACAGATGAAGAACTGAAATCAACTACATTGTTAGTTCCACAGCTTAGTGAGAGGGTTGCCCAGAGGTCTCTAAGACACAAGACCAAGCTGTCAAATACTTTACAGTACTGTGAAGCCTCTGTGATGCCTTATCACTTAGAAAAGGTGTGAATGGAATTCCAGGAGGTCACTCTGGAGGTCTTGCAAATAGATCTTGATGCAGGCTATCTTTATTCTTTACCGTGAATGTGAAAGGGCAGGTGGGTTCCCTCAATGGACTCATTTAAATGTAAAGGCAAAGTGTACTTGCTCTGTGAGGTGACTTCTGGGTACTGAGAAGAGCTACCACCAACTGAACATGGTCAGATTGGTCACAGCAGTGCGTGGGATCTTTCCTTCCTGAGTTCAGAGATAGCTCTGACCACATAGATGGGCTCTGGCTGAAAATGAGTCCTAACATGGCCTACAGACTGTACCTGCCTGAGATCCCACCTGGCAACTAGGTGCCAAGGTTGCCTAAGCCTAAAGCCAAGTAGACTCTGGGTAGCCTGTTCTCAAAGAAAGAGGAATCATAGGCAGAATCGTAGGCAAGAGAATCATAGGCAGGAAAGGAAGTACCTCGTTGTGCCATGTCTTCCTCAGTGCTGTTCTAAACTTGATACCAGACTACAGAAGAGGTAATGAAGAGCTGAAAGAAACAGGTTATGAAACAAAGCTGGTGAGGAGCTGGAGGGAGGAGGGAGCTTGGATGCTGATAAACAGATGTGCAGCATACCAACTGCCTTTTGGTGACCAGAAAGGGAACTGCCCAAAGCCACAGTTAAAATCTTAGGAGATGCTGATGGCTCCAGCAGTTTGGGGAATGAAAAATTCTGGACTTTACAAGGTCCTCCATAGTCTGCCATGAGTCTTTCAGTAATACTGTAGCTGGCAGGAGCTGCTTACAGAAAGGCAAGATGCTCCAGTCAGGAGCAGACCGATGGGGCTAATCTAAAATCCTGAATTGTTTGAAACAACTTCTGTCTGATAATCTGCTGTGGACCTGATAATTTGCCGTGGAAGACTGTAAGGTCCTTGAATGATTGGGGGTCTGTTGCATTATGATCAAAGCTGTAGAAAGCCTCAGAAGCCTGATTATCATCTTTCCTGAACACTTGTGAGATAATCCACTCTCTCAGTCAGGGCATGACAAAAGAACAGATTTTCCAATTATATTAGCTAGCTTTTAAATACGTTCGATGGGGAGTTTTGATTGAACTGAAGAAGGAAGCTGTATAACTACCAGTGCATGAACAGTTCGAATCTCAGGATAAATACAATCTCTGGCACATTAGTATCCTATTTCATGATAACTAGAAAAGATCTGATGCCAATTGTAGCTGCCGTGTCAAAATCATAATTTATCCCCTGATAAAAAGACTGCTCCGTTCTGAGATCTGCTTGGGAAAAGGGATAACAAGGAAAGTGAGAAAGTTGCTGTTCTTGTCCATTATGAGAGTTAAGCTAAGGAATATCCTTCCTCTGTCTCTGCTTGAAAGCATGGTCTGCACTCGATTCTGTGCTAACAGCTCCTGGAAAAGGGAAAAATTTGTCATCCAAAGCACCACCTAGAAATCACTGCTGCACCAGCAGACACGCTCGGTGTTTCATGTGGTATTTCTGAGGGGGCTGCTTTGACTAAATGCTCTCTGTGGGAGAGGGCTGCTCACTCATGAGTCAGTAACTTCCAGTGATCCATGAACGTTTAAGGTCAGCTCCAGTTTCAGACAGGCAGCTTCATCTGACACATGGTTGGAAATAATTGAAGGGAAACAATTGAAGGGAACTGGATTTCCAGAGCAGTGCAAAGCAGACAGAGGATGACATGGGTGTTTTCTAGAGTATCTGCTTCTCTAGGATCAGGTTCTGGACCCTAGAAATGAGTAGACTAAATGGATTAGATAGAGCATTGACAACAACCCCACTTGATCAGTACTCCTTGAAATCAGTGGCAGGACTGGTCAGCCTGCTAAGAGGAATGCTTGGAGTCTTCTTAGCTTTCTTTCAAGCCCTTGAAATTCAAGCCCTGGTAAGTATTGCCATGCTTATGGAGGGACTGATATCCAAGACTACAACGTGGCTAAGAATGAAGCGTCCCAACTCAGCATGAGAAGAGTTGAGAAACAGGATGTGCTCTGTGCATTTATGGGCTTCAAGTCAAATGCACAATACACAGACGTGCACGAGAGCTAACCCTTATTATCAGACATCAAGAAATGAATGTAACTGATGCAGCTTAACACAAATGTCAGGACTTACTTGTATTTCGAATGAAGAAACCTTTCAAGGTGCCCCACTCTGATCTTCGAGCACCACTGTCTGCCCTTACGCGCAGGTTATAGGCCACGGTGGCTGAGATATCCTCTGTGATATTACATACAGTGACTGTGATGAGGGAACACTCACAGATGGGGATCCAGCTCTCGTTAGCGTACTCTCGTTCATACTCCCTGGGGAAAAGAAAGTAAACAGGCAGCATTCTGATAGGAGGTACCCTTGTCACATCTCCTATGGGCTAAGGCTGCTTGCTAGTTCCTTCCAAGTAAGACCAGTAGTAGAATACAGTGGGTTGGATTATTGGGAGTTTATGAAACCAGCACGAATGTATGTTAGATTTTATCTAGAGAAATTCTCCTAGAGTTAGCTTGTTCATCAGCCAAAAGCATCATGGGGAATAGCAAACCAGAGCTGATGCCACAGAAGCTGCCCAGTCGCTTGATTATCCCTGGTGAATCACATTTCAGGCCAAACTATGACACAAGTCACAGCTTGAGATCAATCAGAAATAAATGTATATAATGTGTTTAAAGGAATAACACTGAAAAGAATTCAAGCCTTTTCTCTTTCCTTTTCTAAATAAACTTTTGCTAATCTTCCTAAGTCTTTAGATAGAGGCAGTTTGCATACATGGGTTAGTGCATGCCTTAGATTATGCAGCTATCTCTTAACAACCAGCAGTTGATAAGGCCTGGTCTGTAAACAATCTCAGAATTAGACCAAATGTGAGTATTCTTCCTACTCACTATTAACAGTGCTGGAGCATCAAACTTCTCCTACACTTGTGAGCTGAATAGTATTCAAGAAATCTAAGCAGTATGGGACTGTAATTGGTGTTCAGAAAGCAAAGAAGGAAAAAACCATAACTAAAACAAAACAGAAACCAGAAGTTACCCCTGAAACTCAACGGAGTATCTCACAGTTTCTCCCTGGACGGTCACAGGACTCCACATTAAGAAATGTTTCATGTTGGTAGAAAGAATAGAGATATTCTGAGGTGCTGGCAGCGGAGCATCTTCACCTAGAAGTCCTACCAAAAATGAAACAAAGAAAAGAAACCTATATGAACGTACTAGAAAAAAAAAAGTAAAAGAACTGTGCAAAACTGTGCTTTGCATCAGAAAAACTCTGCATTTTGACACTGTCATTTAAGTGTTTGTAGGTATTTTACAAAGAAGAATGACAACCAAAGAGCAAGTGACAGAACACTTAGCTGCCTCTGCTCACAGAAAGGCAAAGCATGTCTTTTTGTTATTTCAGAGGTTTTAAATATATGAAGTAGAGAGAAAAGGCAAAGCTTTTAGAAAGCTATCCAATTTATTTTAATGAAGCCAAATAACAGATACTCTGTTATGCTCCACAGTCTGTTCCAATGAACAATTCCCATCATGGTTAGAAATGTACAATTTATTTCCAGACTTGGCTGGACTGGTCATTTGACGATTCTGGCTTTAGTACAGATTTTTTCATGTTTCAGGATTCTAACAATATAAGTGCTTGTAGGCTGTAATCAAATTACCTCATTAATTTCTTGGATAAACTTATTTAAAGGACTAATGAAGTTAAAATGTTTCTCCTGAAGATCAGCAAAGCCTAAGTTTGGGATGATGCTTACGGCACGGTTTATAGATTTTATCCTTTCACTTATCCTTTTTATCTTAATGTAAAATCCTTAGCAGAGTTTGGACAAGAGCACAAGAGGAAGGCTGCCCCATGAGTACGCCCTTCACAACATGATAATTACGGTCATATCTCTGTTCTGCTGTTTACCAGTCCCAAGAAAATTGTTTCCCTTATAAGTCTCTCTCTTTTCCCTTATAAGTCTCTCTCTTTTCCCTTATAAGTCTCTCTCTTTTTATTTTTTCTTTTAATTTTTAAAGTTACTTTTAAAATTTAATATAACTTGCAAAAAAGGGTGCTTTTTTAAAGCTGTGATTATAAAGCTAACCAGTTAATGTCAGTTGTTCTACCCAAGATCAAAACCGAGTTGACAAGTCCATCAGCAATGTTGTTGTGGTGATTATTCTTTTAAAGCACTGCAAAAACATATTTTTCCTCTTATAAAATATTGCCCATATTCGTAGCTTATGATGTGATACTTTGCAAGATGTTATTTGAATCTGTTGACATAATGCTTGGCCTTTCTTTAAACTGAATGACAGAGATCTCTGGGATGAGATGATTTCTTCCTTGGCATTCAGATAGTGAAAGACTTGCTGTCTGCTATATCAGCAGTTCTGTCACTTCTGTCTGGTTGGGGCTCTGTACTATTGTCAAGACACTTTTCATCTACAACAACAACAACAAAACCCAGATTTTTTTGTTTCTTTTTTATGTCTTTATTGCCTTTCACTTTGCAGCTCAGAGACTCATTTGGTCTCTTGTTCAATTCTCTGTGCTTCTTGACGCTTAGACTGTTTGCTACTACTATTCCTTGTACTCTTGGTTCCCACGTGAATTTCTGTACTTGGAATATCTAGGTGTGCGAATTACATAACAGACTTTAATTACATGACCAAGCACCAGTTTTTCCATATGACTCACACACACAATATGATGTTCCAGGTCTGAACAGAAGTGGTTTGCACTGGAGATATATAATCTGCTGTGTTCAGAGATACAGAACTTGTTCTTACTATGTTGTATAGAAAAGAATTTTGAAAGGAGAGAATAGTTCTGAATTGGGATATTTACCTTTTGATGGCCCTTAAGCTATTTTTTGTCTAATTGAGACCAGTCTTCATTTCCTGACTGCACTTAGCTTACTACACTGTGTTACTCCTTTGTTGACAAAATCTGTGATTGTTCTTCCATTGGCACAGTGAAACCTGTAAACAAATACGTTTAAAAGTGGGAGGAAAGATGATTGTAGGCTGTACAAACAGGGAAGGCACGAAGTATGAACAGGGAAGTATGTTGTGTCAGTACTAACATGCTCCATTATCTTTAGTTATTTTAAGGGAAAAGAAACAACAGCCACACAATGCACAGGAGACAACTGGCAAAGAAAGCCAGCAGGACCCAGAGAGCTGTTAGCTTACTGCTTCCATTTGATTTTGTATTCACAAGCAATACCAATAGCAAGTAGCTGCGAATAGCAATAACAAACACAAAAGCTTTATAGGAAAAGGCAGGTTACAGTCTTTCAAGCCAGGGTACTTTTGGACAGACATCTCCAGTCATGCCATGGAAAAGACATTTCTATATTACCCTGTAAATACCATTTCTGCCTACTACCCTATCAGTAGTATATTCTGTTTGTTGTATGAATAACTGATTTCCATTTACAATAGCGATGATTTCCTTAAACTTCATTTGTAACATTTTTCTCCTTTTATGCTCAACTTAGGGAATCTGTGGTTAAAAGAAAGCAGTTTCACTCTGGAATCCAGTACATTTATCTTTCTTGATTTTCATTTTAAAATGCCTTAAATAATGCTGACAAATTTCCTTTGCTCTGCTGTAGATTTTGATACTCTTCTCTGTTTGTTTGCTTGTTTGTTTGTTTGTTTGTTTTTAAAGGAAAGAGTGTTCTTTGCTCAAAAAATACATTAGGAGATTTAAGTTTTCATGTTTTACTCTGAGGCCAATGGAACAGGAGACATAGTGTGAAATTATTCCACCTTTCCCCCTCTCTGCCTCTCACAGTATGCACATGGGTACCAGCCTGGGCATGGCTGGCTGACACTACAGATGCAAAAAAGCAGTAAAAATTAAAATGGATTACTTGAAGAATAGTTGCCCAGCTTTGTCATCTTTTAAAAATATGTTTGTCACAATCCTCCTTATTCCACAGAATAAAACTGCAGAGAACACACCACGTGGAGCTGAGGTAGTGTTTTTCCATATTAAGAAACCAAGAATTATAAATAACGATTCAAAGTGTTCTGCTGGCCAAGCAAGCTGTAAGATTACTTTTTCTGGCAGAGAACTTGAATTCGGGAGCAAAGAAGGAAGTTTTCAAAGACATCACTGAGCAAAATCTGAGCACACCTGCAAGCTGTGCTTCCTTTCTGGAGGACTGACCATTGCAAGAGCACTGAAGTGTAATTAGGAGACCAAGCATATCCAAGCTTGGAGACAAGCATCTACTTGGAGAAGCAAATTGAAAAATGCACAACCATCTTCCAGGGCAAAGGAGATTCTCAGTGACCATAATTGAGCCAGTAATTAAAACTTGCTAACTCCCTGACCCTGCATCCACAGTACAGGCAGTGTGTTCCCCTGTGCTCAGAGATAACAGCAGCTAAAGAGGACTTGTAAGTACAGCTTCTCACAGAACAGCAAAAAGCAGAGGCAGGTACAGTATTAATATGTCAATTTCCTTTAGACTGAAACTTCCCCTTAAATTACAGAATCACCTTGTAGAATGTAAAATATATGGATTGTCTTCTACTTTTACTTCTTCTAGTAATTAAAATTCAGGGTCACCTGACTGCGTGCTGCGTTGCTTTGCAAAGACAGGTTTAACAGAAGGACAAAAGACTTCTAGTTCCTCACAAACCCTTGGTCATTTGGCTTCTGTTAACTGAAGCTTTTTCAGAGGTTTACCTGTGAGATCAGGTGCAATCAGAGTGCAGAGGACGAAGCAGATGAGTTTTAGTGGCATTTTGCTCATGCCTGTTGCCTTTTCCCATATTCACACCCAGCTGTGCAGCTCAGAACTTTCCGAATGGAGAGCCATGCCTGCCCCAGACATGGTGAACTGCGGAGTATTGCAGACACTGCTTCTCTGCCTGCCTGAGCCCATGCTGAAGACACACGTGCATGGTTTGTGAGGGTGTAGTCAAGGGAGGGGCAGGTAATTGGGTGCCAGCATTTCTTTACAGGTCCCTGCAACCACTCACCTAGACAGCACAGCACTGTTTCACCTTATGATTATATGCGTTAAATCTCACTGTGAGGAGGAGGAGATGGGATTAATTGGATATTTCTCTATAGTTTATACAGCTGTACATGCTCAGCCTCCAAGCTGGGTAAATCCAGATGCTTTCAAGCACCTGGAAAGTTTCCCAGTGCTTCCCACAGTGAGGCACGGCTGTAGGCTTTGCACAACCTGTGGGCTGGCAGGAAGGAGGTTTTTTCTCTGCTTTATCTTCCAATGCTGTTTTGAAGGCAGCTGCCTTGGGCTGTGCTGAGGAGGGTGTTATTTGGTGCAGGAATCCCAAGGTTTTCCCATCTTCCAGTGCCCACCGTGTTCCATTTCAGCTTGAGCAAAGCAAGCCTCTCAGCCAGAGCACACTGAGGTCTTATGTCCTCAGGCTGACATGATGTAAAAATAAGGGGAATGCTACTCACCTCTCGCTTATATCATAATCTGATGAGAAAATATTTCACAAATGGTGTCATCAGAAATGTAAATGTAAGCTATTTCTGTGATTTGTCATTTAGATGACAAAAGGCTGTTCAGGAGAAGATTCAAAATAAATCCTGTGTCGTGCTCATCTTTTCACAAAATGACCAAATGGAGAAATTAGAAACTGAATCAAGGTAGTGGTTACCCATGTACCAATCTTACCAAGAGAAATTAAAACTTTCATCACTTCACAGGCAGCTCCACTGCTGTGTTGATCTACACAGACTGATGAGGTCTGGGCTTTTATCTGTGTGCTATGCAGATGAGTTAACTCATTTACAGAGCAGAGAGGTAGCTGTGAATGAATTTTTGGGCCCTAACTGAGAGAGAGATGCTATCTACAAAAAGAGCTCCTTAGGTCCTTCAGTGACTGTTAGCTGAAGTACCCCTGTTTTTTCCAGCTCAGCTTGTCACTGGGCTGAAGGTTTATCTTGTTCTTCTCACTGCTGTACCTGCCCTTGGTGCAGATTGGCGATGGCTTCTGTAGATGGCAGCAGAAGCTAAATAAAATGCAGAGATTTTGAAAATTAATTCAACCCCTCTCTGCTGCTATCCCAGATATGTTTTTTTCTCTCAGTGTCAGCCAGCTGTTGTTGAGGATTGAACAAATTCTAGGCAACAGGAGCCAAATTTCATACATTATACACCGAATTAATGCTTTACTTATAAAAAGTATGTTACTTGTTGTAGTCTGTGTCTACAGCAAATGATAAAAGCAAGTTTGGAAGCTCTCCTGATAACCTCTGATTTCCCCCTACTTGCTTCTGTATAAGAAAAGACCAATAGTAATTCTGACATGATTTCTAATACTGATTTTTCTTTCAGGAGTATCTATTTCCTCCCATTATAAATGCTGCTGCTTTCTTTCATGGCAGCTAATCTGTAATGCAAAACACAATTCTAAACAGTTGTCTTATTCATTCCCCTTTGTTTTATTTTCTAAATAAGTAGTAGGACTGGCATGTGTAGTACGTGCATGTGTTACAGCCTTGAACTTTAAAGCTGTTCACTCACTTCTGTAAAAACAAGAACTTGCTTGCTTTTCATACATCTGTTTCTGAATGCATGCTAATTGCTGCTAAGTTACCCTGTGCATTTTGTTAAACCTTCGTATCAATGGGTTTTGCTTTTGCACTCAGGAAGTTTGGTTGGTTGGTTTGGCCTTTTGTTTATGACCATGTTTATCTGCACTGCAGGATGACTGCATCATCTCTCTGCACTGCCACATCTGATCTGCAAAGAGAGGAAGACCTGGATCCAGTTCTCCAGATTTTGCCTATGGTGATATGCTTTAACGTTAAGACTGTTGAGTGATCTACTCCAAAATAGCAAAATCCCACCAGAGACCTAAGTGATTCTAAACCACTTTGTCCAGCACGTGAAAAAAAAAGTCCTTTTGTGTTGTTCTACCCTGTTGATAATGATATTTAATTCACATATACACAAGAGCAGGCAATTCCCTGCCTGTGATGACGTAACGTGAAAAAGCCTTCAGGTTCAATCAGTGTTCCCACTGTGAAGTACCTAAATATTGCATATATTGGGAGTCCATGTCAGAGATGAAGCTTGCATTTAGTTCTTCTGCAATATTAGCTCTTGAATTGATTTTCTAGTGGAAGCAGGCTCCTTATTCCCCTTTCTATCTTACTCTTCTGTCTTCATCTCTTTTCTTTCAACAAGCTTCAGTAAATTAATTTCCTTTTCCTTTTTTTTAAAGTCTCCTTCCTTAATTATGTGCCATCATGCTAATTAGCTTCTTGATAAGACATCTTATTTCCTCTTCCAATACCTTAGCATGAACAAGAAGCGTAGGGGATTCTTCTAACAAGTACCTGCCTCTTAGAAGTATTTAGAGCATTTGCAATAGTGGGATGATCTTTAATTGAAAATGTCTCCCATCATTAAGATGACTTTTAAATAATGAAAAAGCATAAAAACAAATAATTATTTGTTAACGTGAAAGCAGGCTTTGGAGGAAAGCAGTAAATAACAAACACATTAGAAGTTCCATGTATGGTTAGAAAAATAGTTTGAAAAGAATGAACTGTGAGAGCAAGGGAGTCTGCGTTCTTTGTTTTTGTGTTTAAAACCATAATGCTCAATTTTCAACATGACAGACATTTAAAATTAGGGAAAATATGGGTATCAAAATGACTGTGCTTTTGAAATATTTCTGAAATCTCCTTATTATTAAAAAGATCTACAGAAAAGTATGGAACTGCTCCTTAACAATTGTGTTCAATATATAGTGAAGATGGCACAAAGCTGAAGGTGTTAAAGTTTATGAATCTATTAATGCACTGCTTTGGGGGAATTAAAGTTTAATAGTGATGATAAACCTTCCATAATAAAATATGGGGAGAGCAAGAGTAAGTATCTTCTGTGATGCAAGAACTGTAAGCTGCAGGATCTCCTGTGGTACAAATGAACTTCTATATAATCACATGCATCTAAATGGATGTTGTGCATAATTTTTTTTATTTTTTTATTTTTAGAAGTGTTGTGTCCTGCTCCAAGAGTACCTTGTGCTTCTGATTTTGCTATCCATCATAGAGAGGAAATTTTGAAAGTCAATATAGGTAAGAGCAGCAAGCACCTACAGAACGAAAAAACAGGAAGAAGTTGTTCTGCTTTTTGTTTGTTTGTTTGTTTGTTTAGTTTTTTTTTGTTAACTACTCTGACAAGTTGCAACAGAGGATGAATTCTGTTTCTTCAGTCATACAGGTTTAAAATGGGAAACAACCATGATCGCTCGTGTAAGAGGGATCTTATCACTCTGGCCTTTAACTGGAACCTAAGGCAATATTAGTACTGAAGCTGTTCTCCGTATGCACTGGTCTTCATATCTGATTTTAGAGAGAAGCAGTGGAAGTTATTAGGAGGATTCTTGGAGACAAGGAAGAAGAAATTGTGTTCTCATCTCTTCCATGCTTAACCAAACAGGTTCTTAATTATCAGCATTAAGAAGTTTGATTTTGCAAGCAGTTTGGTATCTCTTTGCACTGCTTTCACAAAGACTATATTACATTTTTCCAGGGATTTTTAAAGGCCAGAATGAAACAAAGTGAAAGAATTAGTATTTGTGGTATTTTAAATAGACATTTCCTTAAAAAGTTGGATTCTGCTCATGGGTCATCTGGCTTTAGTGAGAAATATATGATTATGGCTAAAAGTTCTGATTAAATATTGAAAAATAATTATAAGAAATCAAAAAAGAACGTTACTGGCTCTAATAAGCCATCAGTTTGGAAATGCAGAAATGCAATTTTACCTGTAAGGAGGGTTCTTAAAATTTTGATGTATGCTCACTGATGCAATTGATCTTTGTTTTGTTTGGTGACTTTGCATGTTTTTATTAGCAATGTAATCTTTTACCTTTATGTAGTTCTTCCTTACTGGAAAGTACATAATCCTTTTGAACTTAAGATGTTAAAATTCTCTATTTTCTCCAGAAAAAAGTGTGGATTTGCAGCATCTGCAAAAATCTACAATTCCAAAGAGGTAAAATATTTCCAATTTGATAATGAGATGCAAATCAGACTGACAGAATGCTTTCTGAAGATGTTTATTTGACACAATAATGCAGCATTGAAGCATCCTGTGGTACCTTTTATTCCCAAAGCTTTGCCTATATGTTTCTAATTTGATTCTTTGGTTTGTTGTGCTGGGTTCTTGTTAGTGTTTTGTAGTTTCTACTTCCTACAAGTGTGGTAACTCTGGTACCTGTAACAAGATGAGCCATGCAACCTATGAAGGACACTGCTGTGAATATGTTGACTCAGAAAAAATTATCATTGTGTTTAGATCACCCATTTGGAACACATGTCCTAATGACCTTCCAAGTCAACAAAATGGGTAGTGGAGCACTGAATTTTTTTCATTTATACCTTTGCAAAGAAGGAGGCACTTCTTAATTGTGATACTGGAAGAAATATGTCTTTAATTTCTGCTTAATAGGAAATCCTTATGTCTGATCAATTCAGGACATTCTGAAGCAGTCACTGCTATTACTAAAGTTAATCAAAACTTACTGCTATGTAAGAAAAATCAATAGAGAACAGATTGAGATCATTTAAGTCAGGATAATTTTGCTGCAGGGCTCCTATATTTTGTCCCATCAATAAACAGAAACCTGAGGGAAACAAGTTTCATATGCCCTGCCAGTGTCTTTATTATTAGTCAGCCAAGTTGACTAAAGTTACTAAACATCATGGATCTGTTTTCACTTTCTTGGTGTTTGTTTGTTTGTTTGTTTTGTCTTTCTCCTCTTTGATGAATGATTTCATCCAATTTTGATGACTGCACCAAACAAAGTGTATAAAACTTCCCCATAGGAACTTTCAGAAATTTCAAGATGCTTTAAATGCAAGTGCCATGTAGTGAGTTACAATTAGAGCTGGTTTGAAAAGTCACTTTCACTGACATTTCACTCTGGGCAAAAAGTAAAGGAAAACTGCATTCCCACTTATATGAAAAAAATGAAGATTAAGTGTTTCAGTGTTTCATTTGGACATGCTATTCATTTTAAGCTTCATTTTCTATTGCATTATAGATCAGTATTATTTACAAAACAGTTGAAAATAAGTTGAAATGGAAACAATAATTTTCTTTACTTAAAAATATGTTTCTGAGTATAAAGAGAAAATGGAATTATAAGCGGAAAAAGAATTCTTCTGATTCTTCTAAAGAATCACATTGAAATCTTGTTTTGGGAAGAAGAGGAAGCAGAGTTTTCAGTCTTAGGCTTTCGTTCTATGAGTACATACTGATAGCATGCTTAGAGAGGGAAAAGTAATTAGCATTGTGAAAAGGATTCCTCAGCAAATAAGTAAAAGTTGGTAAAAGCCAAGGGATAAACACAATAGAGCAAGAACAGAATATTTTGAAAGAGTAAGGTATTTGGGTGAAGATATCAACAACTTAAACGCTGGCATGTTACCAGAACTATTTTCATTGCTTATCCAAAACATAGCATCATACAAGCTACTATGAAGAAAATAAACTA